GTTATGCAACCCAGCCATAAAATTATTTCGTTGCTACTTCATAACTGTAATTTTGATGTTATGAATCCTCGTGTAAATATCTGAAAGGCAGAGTATCAGATGGCACGTGGCCCCTGTGGGGTTGCGGTCCACAGGTTGAGGACTGCTGCATTTGGCAGAGCCCATTGGGAAGTGCTCGGAGCTTAGACCCTGAACTGCACACATCTCCAGTGGGGACTGGCTGCAGCATGGTCAGCTTCTCGGGCTCGTATGGCCCTGCGCCCTTGACTGTGGAATGGCTCCTGCGTCTAGTATTCTTTTTCAAGGATGAAAATCTGCACCAAGGTACCTGGACGAGAAATGGTCCACATAAAAGTCAATTATAGAATTATTCTTAGTGTAAGGTATTCTAAATGATCTGTGTTTCAATGAAGATAAAAAATGATCTGCCATTCCAAAAGGCTAGAAATGAGCTATGGCAGAATTTAAACAGGAAGATATAAATGCAGTGTAGCTCAGTATTAAAAAAAAAAAATCAAATACAGAAAAAAACAAATAGGAAGAGCTATGGCCTCAAACAGCTCTTATCTGAAATCCAAGAAGAAGTGGACCATAGTTTTTAAAGTAATTTAAATATGTTGTACAAAAATATGAATGAGAGGCAAATTCAATGATAAAAGGGAACTTTTGATGAAAACTACAAACTAGACTGGCTTTCAGAAACTTTAGGAACATTATTCATATCATTTCGAAATATCTGAATGACATTCTAACATTAAGACAAACTTGCCTAGTGTATGTGAAAATTCATCTTGAAATATCAATGGGGCAAAGTGGGCTTTGAAAGGGTTATGTAATGATGTCAGCAGAATAATGTGGAGCAAAGCACAGAGTTGAGAGCAGCCGTGGCCTGGAAGACCTCCCACACCCACTTGGTCCACGCTGACTTTGCCACCGGGTTAGGGAGGGGGCAGGAGTCCATCATGGAGGGTTCGATGTCTGCAGAGACATGAAAACTGTCTTCACACAGTGTCCTTGCACTCTCTCCCTCATGGTGAAATGCTCCGTGGGGTGCCCAGGAACCCAGCTACATTCTATGCAATGTTTTAGATCGACTTCCGTAAGAAAAACAATGAATCTATTGCTCAAAATAGTCTTTAGAACGGCTTATTGAGAGCAGGAGAACTAGTTTTTACCAAGGATGAACTCCTCAGTTGGTTTTCCAAAACCACATAGTCAGCCCTGAAATCACAGACATACAAGCAACACTCAATGGGTTCAGTAGATTGTATATGTGTATGTATATATACATATGTGCATGTATAAATGTTGGTCCTCCTCCCATGGGTCCAGTTTATGGGTGAGGAGAGGGTGCCCAAGCTGAGGGGGTAAGAGGTGCAGGGCGAGCAGATACAGGCTGGTTTATTCCCAGGAAAGAGAGCAGGTTATATAGCTTTGGGCAACCAATCAGGTTCCTCTGCACCATCTCCGAGCCTGCCATTGGCTGTTGGTCTCTGGGCAGGCTCTTCAACTGTCGGGCTACCAATGGTCTCTTGCCGGAATGCCTATATTTATTAACAAAAAGAGGCCATGATGAATTTGAGAGGGAGGAGGGCAATATGGGAGGGGTTAGAGGGAGGAAAGGGAAGGGGGAAATGATGTCAATACATTTTAATTTCAAAAACGAAGAAAGAAAACCTGGGCGTTCTTATATATAGAAGCTCCCAATTTAGAAGCATGGCAGCAGGCTTGGCAAATGCCCTTGCCCTCCATGCCTCTCCCGGGCTGATGTCCCGGGACAGTGTGGAGGGCTATAATTAGTATTGCAGGCTTAAGAACTTGGCTCCCAGCGCTGCAGCTGGCTCAGGGTTTGAGCTACTCGGGACTAAGATGAACTATTGCGAAACCCTCAAATTTGGGGTTTTGGGTTTGAAGCGCGTTTGCACTCCTCTCTGGGAGCGTAGTGTCTTCTAGCTTGTTCCTCTCTGAGTCTGGCTGACCATCTCTAAAATTATGAAACTGTGATACCTCCTTCGGAAGTTTTGTGGGGATGAAATGAGGTTCTGCATGTAAGGTGTTGTTGATCAAAATCCTCCAGCCCTGATTAGCAAGTCAGGTCCATGGGCAGGAACCCAGTTTCCTCTTTGATCTCGTTTGATTTAGCTTCTCTTCAAGTTCGTGTTGTGAGAATCACTTTTCCCAGTTACAAAACTGCCTATTGGTCTTGAATTCTCCTTGATCATTTTGAAAACTAGCATCAGTACCTACTACCCAGAACCCCCTTCACTTGAGGTACTCAGGACCAGCCTGTCTCAGCTGCCTGTGTAACCAAGGTGGGGGTGGGGAGTTACCTACTGTTCTCTGGCCAGGACTTATTTGGCCAGGCCCTAAGGACTGGGGGGAGAACAATAAAAACTTTGCCTTAACCCTTCTGCCTTCAGAGCATCCAAGAAACTGGTTCAGCGGCATGAACCAGTGAGGAAATGACCCTGTCTCTTTGAGACGAGACCCCAGGTGTGAGCAGCTGAGCGTTTCATCAGGGAACGCGTGAAAACACTGCCATCACGTACACCTTGCCCCATGCCTGAAGCCCTGGGCTCTCTGCTTAGATTTTACTGAGTGTGAGTTTATGATCTTTCCCACAGCGGGCAGGTAGAGTATTTCAGGCGCTTCGCTGTGTGATCCTCATCTCCGCCGCTCTGCGAGGAGCAGCCGGCGGAGTCTGAATGCACGTGGCGCTGTTCCAGAGAAACTGTATTTGCAAAACAGGTGCAGGCTGGATTTGGCCTGCGTGCTGTGCTTTGCCAAGCCGGGGCCAGTGGACACTTGAGACTAATGGGAAACAGGAACAGGATAGCTGGGTTTGAGGGGACCACACCTGCCTTTTTCCAGTTCTGGACTGAATGAGTCTCTAAAGGTCTTTGACTCACTGGCTTATCCTGAGAATTCAGGAGGATGATGTCTGCGAGGCCTTCACAGGTGAGCTGTTGAGGGTGACTTCAAGTGCGTCCAGGGCTAAAGCTGTGTGGATGTTTATTTTCTTGCTTGTTTTCAAGCATGAAGAGACCTGTGGTCTCTTCGGAGGTTGGTGCTGTCCCACGCTGTGGCTTTCACAGCTGAGTAGGTAAACAGAGCAACAGAGTGGAGCTGGTTAGGCTGGTCCAACCAAAGTCAAGATACCAGCAGGGGAAGAGCGAGCTGCTGTGTATGCGTGCGTGCGTCTTCACCTTTCAAGCAAAGATTATGCCGCTTGGTGGGAGAATGGAATCCGTGACTCTACCTACCCAAGCCTTATTCCTCAGCCAAGCTTCATCACCCAGCTGCTGCTGTCACACTGTGGGAGGGGCAGGAGACAGATGGTGCCGTCTCATTCCTGTGCAAGTTCACAGTCAGGAAGAAGGGCGTAAGGAGAGGTGTGCAAAGCATGTAAGGCAGAGGGATGGCGGCAGCCCCACCTCCCTCCCGAGGAGATCTCAGCCCTCCTCCCAGCCCTGCCCTCCTCTCCAGCCTGGCCAGGGGCCACTGCCTCCTCAGACGCCTCCTCTGAAGCCACTCGGCCATCCGTTCAGTGACGAGACTATTCCAGTGAATATTATGTTCCAGGAAGCACTGCTGTGTCCAAGGGACAGAACTCTATTTCTACGAGATTTGTGCACTTAGGGTTAATAGACATGACATTCAGAAATGAGAAAAAAAAATGCGCATGTACAGGTTCATTTTTAAAAATTCTGTTCTATTCTGTTTCTTTTTTTAAATTGAAATTCTTGGCTGGAGAGATGTCTCAGTGGTTAAGAGCACTGACTGCTCTTGTAGAGGACCTGGGTTCAAGTCCCAGCTCACAGCCATCTATAATTCCATCTCTGAAGGAGATGATGCCCTCTGCTGGCCTCTGTGCTTACCCGAACTCCTTTGAATGGCACTGACATAAAAATAAATCTTAAGAAAACACTTACTTTAATGGGTAGGTGTGTAGTGCATGCCTTAAATCCCAGCACTCTGGAGGCAGAGGTATGGGAGTGGTCTCTGTAGCTCAAGGCCAGCTTGGTCTATGTAGAACAGCCAGGACTGTATAGAGACACTCTGTCTCATAAAACAAAAACAAAAACAACAACAACAAAACAGATTTGTCCTCTTCTAGATAGTAAATTTAGTAAACTTGATCCCTTATCTAAGGTTCCATCTGTCAGAGAGTGTGCCTCCCACCTTGTAAAGAATGTCGCCATGGCATGACTCTGAGAACTGGATTCTTGCCTGGGTAGCTTTTGATGCTGGCATCCACTGATGATCCTTTCTGAGTCAGTTCCAATGGAGGTGCTTTCGGAAGAGCCGTTCTTGCACTTCCTAAAGTGTCTGTGGGCTCCCGGATCTGAGTTTTATTACTGTGCTGAGATTCTATCACTGCAGTTTGGAAGTAAGATCATTTGACACTGAGGTAGAGTTTGCCAAACAGTGGATGTACACGTTGAGCATACAATCTGGTTGATTTTAAAGAAGGCACTGGATCCCCTGAAACTAGAGTTGTGGATGGTTGTCAGCTGCCATGTGGGTGCCGAGAATTGACTCCGAGTCCAAGGAAGATGTTTTTCCCTGTGGCATTCAGTATCACTTTCATCCTCACAGCCAGCTTTAGGCAGAGGACAACCTTGTTGTCGTCATTCAGTGTTCTCCAGGGAATAAATGAGGGGAGGAGGCCACACCCCCGCTCTTCTGTCCTGAGTACTCTTTACATATCTAGTTTGCAGTAACTAGTCTGCATTTCTACCCTTAAGTGACTATCAGAACTTGCTTTAGTATGACCTTGATGACCGCATACATGGAATAGCGGACTTATCATTCTCTGTGTGTGTTCTCTGGTAGGCTAGTGAGTATCTAAGGCCTTTGTTTTTGTTTCATCCTAAATATCAGGTCTTAGATTAAGTGTCTGTGCGGATGACTGGTAACTTTTTTTTTTCTTCTTCTTCCTGGTTTACAAACTGAGGCAGGTTTTTTTTTTTTTTATAAGCATTCTCTTTTCTTCCTAGGTGTTTGAAGCTGTGATTTCATGGATCAATTATGAGAAGGAGACTCGCTTAGACCATATGGCGAAGCTGATGGAGCATGTCCGGCTCCCTCTCCTACCAAGGGATTATCTAGTCCAGGTCAGTGCGTTCAAGGTCACCTGCTGGAAGAGAGCAGAGGCAGCTCTGACTGTATGGTGTGGCTGAGGCGTTTCAGGCGTCGCTGTGGGGATGGAGGTTGCCAGCTCCCTGTACTGAGTGTGACGTGTGGATATGAAATGTGAAGAGCATGGGTGTGGGCAGATGTGGGCTTTCAGTCGAGGCTCCGTCCACCAGCTCTGAGTCACTTCACCCTCCAAGTGCCACTGGCTTCTGGTCAGATGTTGCAGTAGCTCTAAGTGGAGCTGTTGCAGGGACTAATGGACTCTGAGCATCTGGGCAGGCAGGCAGCGCAGAATCTGACATACGAATTTTCAGTATGAGCTGGTTTTCCCTTGGAAGATCGGAGCAAGAAGACTCATTTCCATAAGGCTCCTATGTTCCCTTTCTGCTACGATCTTATCTTAGGCAACCACAAGTCCAGGTCAGGAATGTGAAAACCAGCTCTTCACAGATGCATAGAGTATATATTCTACTTCCTCGGAGAGAAGAAAGAACAGATAAGAATTCTGGGGTGCACCCGTGTTTTCTCATTTAATCCTTACAACAGCCCTTTGAGGCAATGATTATGGGCCTCTTGATATCAGACCCCCCTCCCCTCCCACATTCAGTTTTTGTTCTTGAAGCTTGGAGCCTGGGATTGGTCTGGGTCCCTGGCCAGCATGAGGGAGTCAGGGTTGGAGTCCACGTCCACCCGGCTCTGAAGCACACATTTCTGTGAGCTGCCACCTTTGATAACCTCCATCCTGTTGACACATGGGATGGTTCATTTTGGCGGTAAATGGTGTCGGACATGCTTGCAAACTTTCAAAGGCTTGGCTTTAACAAAATGCAGAGGCAGATGGCCAACCTTCAAGCTCTTCCTGAGGAATGTGCAAGCGTCAGGTGAGAGAGGAGGCTGAGCAGGCGAGCTGCGCCACTCTGCCCTTGTCACCCTGTCACACTTGACCCCGGAACCCCAGTTCTCTCAGCTCTGATGGGCTGTGTGGTGACAAAAAGAGATGACCCACCAAAGGCCCGTTACAGGGCTGAGTGAGTGCTGGCTGCTGTGTTACTGCATGCGGCTAAGTCCCATGGAAATGGACCAGATGGAATGCCTCCAGAATGGACTGTTTCACAGTGAGGGTGTGTGCTAAAGAAGCCCCTGAGTTCCCCACAACCGAAGCTTACCAATGACATGGGCTTATTCTGGTTATCACAGAAAAGTCAGGTTTGGGTATGAAAAGAGGCTCAGAAACGATGGCTTGGGAAAGGTGATGGCCCTCCCTTAACAAGGACTTTTATTGGGCTCACGAGGTGAGCTCCTCTAGGAGAGGGTGCTTCATTAGCATTTGCTTGACCCTGAAGCTTAAAGTGTGATGAAGAAAATTTATATTTTGCAGGTGATTTTCCAATTACCTACTCTAGGTCCCCCCCAAAATTGAGACAGATGCTTATAAGATTTATTAATAAGCTTTAAGCTCCATAACTGAGCAGATATCCATTTATATCAATCCTCTATGTTAGTTCAGCTGTTTCCCAGCCATGTGCCCTGATTTCCTTGCCATATTGGCCCTGCCTAGGATGTTCTGTTTCATAAGGTCACGGAGGAGGACAAAGCAGCCAGTTCTGATGAGAACTGTAGGATCAGATGGAAGGGGAGGAAGAACTCCCCTAACAGTGGACTTGGGGAGGAGTATGGGGGGAGAGAGGGAGGGACTAGGGAGGGGGTTACAGCTTGGATACAAAGTGAATAAAGTGTAATTAATAAAACAATAAATAAATTTTTAAAAAAAGCTGGTCGGTGATGGACCACGCCTTTAATACTAGCACTCGGGAGGCAGAGGCAGGTGGATCTCTGCGAGTTTAATTCAGCATCCCGTTATCCAGGTAGAAGGTGATTAGAACAGACTGCTGCCGTCACCTCAGTGCTGGTGTGGGCACTGGGGCAGAGACGGACATATGTTGGAGGTTGATCTAAGGCCAATTACTGGCCCTCTGTGTAAACCTGCCTAAGTCATTATACCTGATTGGCTAATTAAACAACCTATATCTGGGCAGGGCAGAATGGGGTAGGTGTGGCTAAGGATCCTGGGCTTTGGAGAAATCCATGAGGAATCACGGGAAGGACAGACAGCTGGGAAGAGAGAGGAAAGGAGGAGGCCACCATGAGTTAGTGTGGAGAAAAGCCACGTGGTACTGGAGAAAGGACTCCGGTGATAGCCCAGATAAAGAATAAAAGCAAGTACCATGGGATTATAGATGAAAGATAATCCAGTTGAGGAGGATTAAGGTGGATGGCATTGGATGGGGGCTGGGAGATGGATGGTGAGGATAATGAGACAGGGTAAGGAAAATATCCGCCCAGCCCCAGGTAAATAAGGCAACTATAAATAAAAAAAAAAATCCTAAACAACTAAAGCTTAATTGTGAGCCTATAACTATCTAGTCTTCAGCCCCCTCGGAGACCTGAGAAGGGTAAACATTACCTAAGTAAACAGGAAGTGCAGAGCAAGCTTCCAAAGCTATAGAAACAATAGAGACAGCTGGCTGCCTGGACAGCCACAAAGTTCTCTCTGAAACATTGGGTCACCGTATTCAGCCTTCTGGCCCAGAATATGACAGACCTTTTCGAGAAGCAGGAATTATGAAGGACTGCCTACCTTCTCTTGGCTAAGCTCGGCAGCTGCCTTCCCTGCATAGTTTGTCCAAGTTTGAACAGCATGCTGTCTGCAGTTGAAGCAAGGGTAGTTTCTTGCCCAGTGGCTAGCTTGCCTTATTTGAAGCAAACTCCTTTTAGAGGCTCTTTGATGCTCATCATCTTCTTTGATGTAGAATGGGGTGTTACCAGGAGTTGACATATCTCACTGTCAAAAAAGCCTTTTACTAATAAAACATTTTTTTTTTTTGAGACAGGGTTCCTCTATATAGCCTTGGCTTTCCTGGGTTCATTTTGTACACCGGGCTGGCCTCAAACTCACAGAGATTTGCCTGCTTCTGCCCCTCATAGTTCTGGGATTATAGTTGTCTACCACTGTGCCTGGCAATAAAACATCTGAAATGCCAAAGTATGTGGATCTGTGAGGTTTTTGCAAACCACCTGTTTCCCTGTAGTATATCTGAAATAGGAAAACATTGCTCATTTCTAGATACTTACTGTCTGTTCAACCTAGGAAACATATTTCTGTAATTAACTAAACTAGTATCTAACAAGTTTGACTGACTTAAAAATTGTATTTCTAAATTATTCCTAGAACGTTTTGTAATAGCAGCTTTCAAGAGGACTAGAGTGTCACACTGTATTTTTTAGATGAGTTGCAGAGGTAAAATGCCTTGCACAAGAGCTGAAACATCTGTATGTATATGTATCAAAAATAACATTAAATTTGTATCGATATACAAAAGTTTATAACAATATAAAACATCTGAGATTAGTAAGAGCTCTATATTTTGAGTCAATTCAATAATCTACCCTTTTATCCTATTATTCCCATGTCCCCCTTTTATCTTTTCCTCCCTATTCCTCTTTTCCCTCCTTAACATCAGATAAGAGACAAAGAAGCTTAGAGGAAAGAAGACAAAATAGAGATCCCTGAGTCTAAGCTCCATATATTTTGTTTTTTTTTCCCTGACCAAGATCATTTATCAACTTGCAACAAGCTGCCTTCTAGTGACAACAAACATCCATCATCGATAGAACTATCAAAAACCTCCCATCCCTTATTGGAAAATGAGGCACCATTTTCTTAAATGTTTCCTGTTGCTCTTGGGACGATGTTTCTTCTGGGACCCTAAGGAAACTGGAATATTGGGAAGTCTTGAGAAGGCTAGCTGTAATGCTCTGTGCAGGCTTATTTGAAGTCCTGGCTGGAATGGTCTGTGATGCTGGATGATGTGCCATCTTAAGTTGTTCTGGATGTAGATTTCTTGAGAACACAGCTTCTGTGTTTGGATTAGGCTGGGAAAAACAGGTCTCAGTTTAACAGCATCCTTCAGGATGAATCCTGTCAGACCCTGTCCAATTTTATTGGTGTCTGGTCCTTTTGTTCTGTAAACAAATAAACTTTCCCAGGTCATATACATTTTTGTATAAACACATGTATGGAATGTGTAGTGTGCACAATTTAGCAGAAAAGGCATCTGTCTTTTTTTTTTTTTCTCCCCGAGACAGGGTTTCTCTTGTGTAGCCCTGGCTGTCCTGGAACTGACTCTGTAGAGCAGGCAGGCCTTGAACTCATAGAGATCCACCTGCCTCTGCCTTCCAAGTGCTGGGATTAAAGGTGTGAACCACCACACATGGCTGCATCTGTCTTTCTTTATGGACTATATAACCAAGCTGTAATATAAATCTTCATCTCTGCCCTATGAAAGGATGGTATGATAAGTCCTGAGGACTGTGTAACCAACAAGACTTATTGGCTATGCAGTGGGTGGGTGGGGGGTTGGGTTGGGTGGGGGTTTCAGGCCAGTTATATCCCGTGCCCCTGGCATCGGCAGGTGATACCATCAGAGGTTGCTAGGCAACCTAAAATCAGGCTAGTGGGAGCAGCCTAACAGGGATGAGAAAAGTGGGCCCACTGCACTAGCTTGTAACTCTGTGGGCCCATCCTGGAGTCTGAGGTGGTATGGTATAGAAAGGGGTGGGTGGGAATGACACAGCCTGGGGAAGAGGCTAGGGAATCGTGATCCCACTCCTCCGGAGGGTCATCTGTGGACTGTTACCCCCAGACAGTTGAGGAAGAGGCTTTGATAAAGAATAACAACACCTGTAAGGACTTCCTCATTGAGGCTATGAAGTACCACCTACTGCCCCTTGACCAGAGGCTCTTGATCAAGAACCCCAGGACCAAGCCCCGGACTCCAGTCAGCCTGCCCAAGGTAAGCCCGGCCCAGCCTCTGTCAAGTCTCACACACTCTCCCCGGAAAGTGGCCTTCCACTCCGGCTTCGGTTCCTTCTGGCTCATGGTTGCGTTTATGACCCAAGAGATGACCTGTTGGGTCCTCTCAAATCTGTTAGTACCTCTGTTGCTTTGCTTAGACTTTCAAAATGGCCACAGTGGCATCAGGGAGCTTTGATCAGCGCCCTCTCCTGATATCCTCCCATGTCATGCTGTATGTGATATGAAGGACAGCTAGGGCTGACAGAGCAGACCCCAGGCCTCAGGACTCTCGTAGATGGCGGAGCAGGGTGGGAGTCAGGTAATGGGAACCTGTGAAGTGAAGTAGGAGCCTGGGGGAAGGAAGGTGCTGGGGGATCCTGTGGTTCAGAGTAGTCGGGGGGCTGTCTCTGTCTGGTCTTTGTGTCTCTCATCAGTGGGATGAGGGATGTGGCACTGGTGGTCCCTAGAGTCCTCAGGCAGTAATTTTTCCACTATCTTGACATATTGGTGAGAGCAGGGTGGGTGGGCGGGGTGCGGAGAGGAAGGTCTCAGTCAACCCAGTGGGGAAGGGAGGCGGGAATGAGTCACATTGCCTATGGACTACACAACAGGATGTCACCAGAAAGTGCTTAGACTCCTACTGTGTCATGGTGCTCCCCCCTCCCCTCCTCCTCCTCTTCTCAGCTAACTACTGCCCTCCTCCTTGCCTGCTGCTTCCAAGAAGTCTCTGAGAGCTGGAGACACAGGTCATTGCTCACTACCGTCCACCTGGCTTCTCTGAGCGTGGCAGCCCCGGCCCAACCCCCACCCCTCTGGATCCTGCAGGTGGACGCAGTGTGCTCATACGTCACAAATGTTTCCTATAGTGCAAAGGAGCTGGGTCCTCATGGAGTTCTCCTGTGTCAGACACCCAGCTGAGCGTGTGGTGCTGTCTTCATTATGGCTGCTACTGATATGATGAATCACCAGGACCAAGTGTGTGTGGCGGGGAGGGTTTGTTTGGCTTATGCTTCCACATTGCAGTTCGTCCATGGAGAAGTCAGGACAGGAACTCAAGCAGGGTGGCTGCTTACTGGCTTGCTCCATGGCTTGCTCAGCCTGCTTGCTTGTAGAACCCAGGACCACCAGGCCAGGGATGGGCTCCACCCACAACGGGCTGGGCCCTCCCCCATCAATCACTTATTAGGAAAATGACCTACAGTCAGATCTTATGATCTTATCCCAGATGATTGCAGATGTGTCAGGTTGACGTGAACTAGCCAGCACAGCTAAACTCCACAACCCTAAACACCGGTGCTTGTAAATCTTAGTTCTACAAAGGAAATTGAGGGTCGCAGCAGTTCAGTGACTTGCCCAAGTGTCAGCAGGCCACTGTGTGGGACTCACTGAGGGAACCCATTCTCTGACTCGCACCTAATCCTGAGCTAACCTGAGTGTGTGCGTGATGGCTGCCCCTGCTACCCGTGCCCACTTAGGGGAAGGTACGAGAAGAGCAAGGGACTTGTTCTCTGGCCGTTTGCCTTACTGTTTTTCACTGTTGAAACATTAAACTGGAACTTGTTTTTTATTTTATTACATTTAATTCTCTCTCTCTCTGTCTCTCTGTGTGTATGTGCATGTATGTGTGTGTGAACCACCTGTGGGAGTCTGTTCTCTCCTTCCACAACGTGGGACCCCTGGGATTGAACTCCCAAGTTGTTAAAACTTGGTGGCGAGTACCTTCTCCCACTGAGCCATCTTGCTTGCCCTTCTTGTAGTTTTAAAATGAAGACGTTTATGTTTCTTTAATTATAGAAATAGAAATTTATTGTATATTAATAAGAATACACTATGAATTAGAAATAAAGTAAAGGTCACCTGGAACCCCTTCTCCACAGCTGCAGCTTCTGCTTTGGTGAGTTCCCTTTTCAGCAATATCTCTGTACACTTATTCATGAATAATTGAAAGTGTATTTTTTTATGTATATGTAATCTTCTGTGAGGCCTGAAATATGTCTCTCTGGCCCTACTTAACCAAATGCTACAAATGACGGGTACAGGCCAAGTCAGCATTTAAACTGAAATGGGTACAAGGTGCTTTGTTGTAGTTCTATATCATGTGTGTTTCACAATCCTTAACTGAAAGTCTTTGGAATAATTCCATTTTTACATTGTAAGTATATCTGTGTCAAATATTCCTTATTAAATGGCATGTTTTCATTTGCGTCTCTTTAATCTTGAATGGTACTAATCTTGGTTTCATGTCATTATTTGTATTTCTTTTGGGGGAAATGCTCTGTTTGTGTCCTCTGTCCCTGTCCTTTGGTGGGTTTTATGGGCCTTTCATACATCGAAGGCATTAGGCCTTGGTGTGTGCACATTGTTTTAGTTTTCCTCTTAAGCTGTTTATATTTTCTGCTACAAAAGTAGCAGAAAATATACTACTTAGTATATTTTAAATATACTTAGTATTATTTAAATATACTACTACTTAGTCAGCAGTATCTTTGGAGGAGTGGATGTATAAAAATTAGTTATTTCAATTGACAAGAAAATTTGTATATGTTTATCATGTACACTGTGATTTAAAATAGTTTAAAGAACATATACCTTATGGAATTGCAAAACTGAGCAAACCAACATGTATTATGACCACATATACTTTTTTTTAATGGTTAAAACATTTACATTTTGCTCAGTGATTTTCAACAGTGTAACATTTTGTCAACTGTGGTCATCACGTCATAGGGCAGAGCTATTGAATTAGCCTTTCTACCTCTAAGGGAAGACTGTACCCTTTAATTAGTAGCTCCCTAGCGGCCTCCCTAACCCTCCGCCTGTTGTAGCTGCTCTTCTGCTCTGTCTCTGAGTTTACCTGTTTGAGACTCTGCAGGCAGGTGAGAGCTGTTTTTCTGAGCCTGGCTTATTTTCCTTAACGTTAAGTGCTCTGACTCCAAACGACAAGATTTCCTTCCTGTTTTGGGCTGAATAACATCCCACCTTGTGTTGTGCCTTCTGTTTGTGCTACCATCACAGACAGGGACTGCAGCTGGAGCTCAGCCATCGTGGATCAAGCTGTAGTCTCCATCAGACTGATGGTGTCTTTTGACAACTTGATTTCATGTACTTTGGATACACGCGTGGCAGCAGGATTGCTGGATCTCATGTCAGAACTATTTTTAACTTTCTGAGGAGCCTCCAATACTGTCCTCAGAAGTATCTACGCTTAGGGGAGAGCAGATGCCTGAAGGTTTCAATTTCTTTCTGTTGTGATTTATTTTGAGTTTAAGCCCCGCCCCCCAGGGGGAAGGGTGGCTTCCCCCTGTAAGTTTGAAGCTTTCCATTTAAGTCTATAGTTCATTTTCAGAAGATTTTCAAAATACGTTATATGGAGTAAGGATCATCTAACCACTCGGCTTTTTCTGTATGTGAATATCTGGGGGCGACATACCACACATTGGAAGGATCTCCCCTCCTCAGTCCTTGCCCCTTTAGCTGTAAGCCGTCAACTGTATATGTTGATTGACTTAACTGTGTACGTCCTGGTCTGTTTCTGGTCTCCGTTCTGCATCTTGTCCATCTGTCTGCCCTATGCAAGTGTCCTGTTGCTTTGCTCTCTGGCTTCAGGTCCCGAGGTACTACCGGTACCTTCAGTTTTGTTGTTGGGCATGGTTTTGCTAATTTTGGAGTCAGTTCATTATTTCTGCAAGAAAATCCTATGGGAGTCACTCGGGTTGGATTCCATCTCTAGGCCAGCGGCGGACTGCCTCAGTCTGTTCCTGTGTGTGTGGCCCAGCGACGCTTTGTCTTGGCCACGCATAGCTTTTGCCAGCTTGTTGTCAAATCTCCTTATGGGCGTTTTTGATTTTGATACAATTCCAAGTGTTCTTCTTCTGTGGGCGGTACTAGGAGTTGATCCCAGGGCCTCCCACAAGCACAGGACTGCAGAGTTAGAGGAGAATTACTGCTCGATGTTCACACTGTGATGCTTCCTGAATTCTGACCTCTAGTAGTTTCTCACTCACGTGTGGACATATGATTGGCGGAGACGAATTGGTGATGTGAACGCTGGTCTATGAAGAATGGGCGTGGTGGCTTCAGGAACGCGCATGCACCCCTCAGTTGAGGCCTTGACAGCCCCTTAGGGTTCTCTTGTGCAGTGTGCATTCCTGCACTAAGCTGTAGGTTCTGTGGCAGCATGTGTCCTTGGCACACAGCCCAGATCCTGGCTCTGGGGTTCGAGCTCAGGGTTCTCATGAATGACAGATATTTTAAAAGGAGAAGTAATGCTGTGGGACGTAGGACTGAGCCATTGTCCCACCTCTCACTTGCATGTGGCTGTCTTCAGCACCCACGCATGTTTCTGCGTGATTGTAGGAAGGATGTGTGCCGTGCTTTCTAGAATATTTGGTTCAGTGTGCAACACCATCCATCACTGAGGGAGCCTAGCCACCATTCCTGGGAGACTAGAAGCCGCTCGGATCAAACAGACAAATCATGGATCCCAACCTGCACCTGGCTGTCAGCTGTCACACGCACACATTATTCACCCAGTGTCCTTCCACGGGCTCCCAGCACTGGGTAGGTTGCAGACATGCAAAGACTTGCAACTAACTGTCCGTTCGTCAAGAGACTCCACGTGAAGGGTGGGGAGTCATGTGTACATGGGCCAGTGCCATGATGTAAGCGCCGTAGCGGGGCACTGCCCACGATGCCCTTGCTCCGGGGAGGGGAATAGGAGAAGCCTTCCGCTGCTCTGGTCCCAAGCTGAGCACTCAGGCTAAATGCAGCCAGTCTGTGGCACAGGCCTCTGAGTACTGCTTCTGTCCCCGGATGGTGGAGGCTCATGGCGATGGGTGCTTTGTGTCTTGTGTCTGCTTGGGTCGCCTGAGGCATCCATGATGACACAGAATATTGCTTACACAGAGCAGTCACGAGGCGGCCTCTCAGTGTTGTGTGCTGCCCACTAAACACATGCTGTCTTTGTCTTCATGGGTCTGGAGGCTTCACTGGCAGAGAACCCCAAGATACAGTAGTGTCGAGGGACTCATCTGGCTTTCCAGCTTGTCCGTGGCGGTGCAAAGGATGGCAGACCCTATAGTGATAACAGCACGGAGTCTCAGTCACCAAGCACAAGTACCTAACACTGGGCCAAGTTCTCCACCATTATTACCTCAGAGATTTTTCAAAATTGTAATCGCCCCATTTGGAAGATAGGGAAATTGACTCTTAGGCTATGTCACCAACTCGCCATGGACTATGCATTATCTGTTTCCATATTCCAAGCCGCCGTAACCTTGCTGGCTCAACACAACGAACACTGACTGTCTTGCAGCTTCCTGGGGCAGGTGTCCCAGGCTGGCTCACCTGGGTTGTGCTGGCTCTGGTCTCTCCTAACGCCCAGCTGGTGGTCAGGGAAACAGCCATGCAAAGGCTCATCTCAGGAAGACCTCACTCACAGGACTGCCGGCAGATTTCGATTCCTTGCTTCATGACCTCAGTGCTTGCTTCTCCAGTGAGGGACTCTACTGTGTGAAAGAGAGGGGGCACACTCAGGCAGGGCCTCGCTGCAGCCTCATCGGAGAACCATCCCGTTCCTTGTGTGGTTTTCTTTGATGGACACAAACTACCAAGGCGGCAGCACACAGGTAAAGGGTGGAGAGTTAGTTTCACGCCCGAGGAGGAGGGTCAGAAGATGGCTGCCTCATCTTTGAAATGCAGTCAGAGGGTGGCTGGGCCCCTAAACCCCACAGGAGCCTTTTACCTCATTCTTCTGTGCAAAGATCCCGACTCCTGCCCCCTAGGAAGTCTCTCTGAGGCGGCAAGAGAGTTGTGAATGGCCAAGGAGGCTGATAAAGAGAAGGTTACTTGGGGGAACTGCTGGGGAGTTCCAAGGACTGACCGGTTTGGGCTGTCATGATTTCAGCTCAGTCAGGCTTCCTGACACACCAAGCTTGGAGAAATGAGGGAGGGAGGGAGATTAGCACCGTGGTAGCGTTTTTTTCAGCAGTGACTCTGGCTAGCTAGTGAAAGGAACAGACTTCCTTGAGCTAGCTTCAGAGGGTGCCGAGAGTGCGTTCCCGAGCTAGGGACAGGCAGAGCATCCTGATACATTCCAGCAGGAACAGCTAATACCGTCTTGGCTCCCATACCTTTGGCACCCGGCACTCTCCCTGAGGCTGGGTTGCTATGGACAACCAGAGACTGCCTCTCAGTCTCAGGGCCTGCCTACATTGCCCAGCTCCACAGATGGCAGCAGCAAAGAAGAAAACTGGGTTCCAGGAGGTGCAGAGGAGAGCTCTCGATTCCTGCTCAGTGGGCACCTCTTCCTAATCCTTCAGAAATGATAGGAAAAGCTGTTTAGGATGGCCATGGGCAGAACATAGCAGCCTGCTCCTGGGGTGGATTACCCTGCTCTCAGATCAAACTGTTGGGAGCAGAGGCTGCTGGCAGGTAGCTAGGGTGACCTCACACCTGGCCCGAGGCCCTTGATTGGCACTGCCTCTCTTCCGTCTTATTCCATGCCCCATCAAACACCCCGGGATTCTGGAAACCCACGCCTTGACCCCTGGGGTTCACAGTCCTCACTCTCTCATTCAAGGCTCATGTATTTCCCTTCTCTACATTTTCAGTAGACTCTTTTTAGCAAAACCTTCAAGCATCAGTAATGATACCCAGTGTTTACCTAACAACATGGCGTGCAGTTCACCAACCCTTGTAACAAGTGCACTGAGTCACGTACGCCTACAGACACTGTGTGAGAAATAGTCTGCTTTCCAGATGATGCAAGTGATGAAGATGTGGCCTAGCAAGGTCCACCATCTTGCCCGTGGCTGACTGCAGACTAGAATGGGACTCATAGCTGAGCCAAGATGTGTCTGACCCAGATGCCTGTTGCTTTCCCAATCCTTTACTCTCTCTTTGGGCTTTGCTCCCATGCTGCCTGGTCGTTAGACCCTCTGTTATTTCTGAATCTTGCTGTGCGCTTGCCAGGGGCGCCTACGTGGACCAGTCTTCTACTCTACCGGACACGCTTCGTTCGGATGCATTTTTTGGTGTTAGCCCTGCGGCCCCACGCACCAGGGTAAGAGAGACTCGCTTCCTGCCCTGGCCCGAGGGACCGACTGGCTGGGCCTGCCTTCTGCCCAGCTCACCTGTCACGGAAGAGAGCTTGGACACACCCTACTCTCGTGCAGCCCCGGTAGTCCCCTCCGTCCTGAGCGGAGGTTTCCCTGTGGCCAGGATTAGAGTCTTGATCTGCAGGTGTGTGCTGGTTGCTCCGGTGTGGTCATTCCTGTGTCCTTGTCTTGGAAGCAGAATGGCGGATGAGAAAGAGCATCGGGCGCATGTTTTAAAACTCGTTATGCTGTCAAGGTCCCAGTCTAAGAAACTAGGCGCCAGTATCACTGAAATAAACATTCATTTGACCTTCCACAGCAGGTGTGTTTTCCTGGGGAGGTGCCTAACGACCCTTGCTTGTCATGGCAGAGTTCAGCTTGGCCATATTCAGCCAACCAGAAATCTCCAGTGAGCAGAACTGCAGCCCCTCAACACACAGCTGAGACCTGGGTTGGGGAGGCCAGGGCCCCCACAAGCCTCTCAAGTACATTGCGGTTTTTAGGAGGATTACACGACAGTCAGCTAGCATTATTGTTAGCTTAGGACCAGTTCCTAATGGTTCCTGCACACCCATCCTTACCCAGGGTCCCCTCAGAGGACAAATCATTATTGCTGGGCGTGAGGGGATGGCATGTGTCTGGAGTTCCACCAGGCTGAGGCAGGAGGATTGTTTGAGTCTAAGAGTTTGGGGTTAACCTAAATGACAGTGAGACACTTAATGCAAGGCCTGGGGAGGTTTAAGGACACACCAGCAGCCTTTAGCTCAGAGCTTCTCCATTACCCTTTAATACAGCTCCTCTTCATGACTGTAATTTCGACACTGTTGTGAATTGTAGCATAAATATCTGTGTTTTCCATCGGTCTTAGGCACCCCTGTGAAAGGGTCATTTCAAAGGGGTTGCGAGCCATGGGCAGAGCTACCTCAGAGGAAGGGAGTTGGACATTCTCTGATGTTTGCCAAGAAGCTGAGTTCATCGCCACCCCTCTCTCTCTCACTCTATGGACCTGCCCATGGCTGCCAGTTAAACAAGACATGGTGGGAAGAAATGTGCAACCTGACTTTTCTTTGAGAATGATTCTGCTGACCCAAACCAAGGGTTTTGAGCTAAGGCTCATAGGAAAGGCACGGGAAGACTCATCTGGGAGCACTGCAGTGAGGTTGGGCCTGTGGTCTGGGAGCACCGCAGCTAGGTTGGGCCTGTGGTCCTGGTGCACTACAGCAAAGTCGGGCCTGAGTGTCTTGGTTTGCTCTGGGAGGGATTAGAGGTCAGAAGAGACCCCTGAGCTTTGAAGACTTTGTGACCGACATTGGCTCACAGACCCTGTGGACAGGTTCTAAGGAGCAGTGACCAGTGATACAGGCAGTGGGGCAGTCTGGCATCATGGCTGACCTTGTGTTAATGGTTACCAGTTTGGGCTTCTTCTCCTGAGGTTCGTCCTTCTGCCAGATCACATGGTATAATGACCCCTACTCCTTCAGTAACTGCAGCGAGGAAGTGTGATGATTCAGTGTAGCTGACATTGTTAACTGCAGATCATCAAGAAATCCCTGCAGGCCAGGGGTTAAAAATGTGCTTCTCAATGTCCACTTCTGGAGCTGAGCCCTGGCATTTCCCAGGGTGTGTTAGAGATGGATTTGCAGCCAGACTCTGGATCTGCTAAATTGGAAACTTGAGGCAGGGCCCAGCGATTTGTGTTTTTGTGAAGTTTGAGAACGGCTAAGTGGATAAGACAGGCTTCAGGTTATGCTTAACCCCATGGCTTAGGCCAGCCAGCTGACACCTCCTGCTTTCCCACCTCGAAAGAAGGCGTTGAAATGCCAGGAAGGGGTAGTGTTATCACGATGAAGGCAGTGAAGGTGTGCCCAAGTTTATCACCATACGCAGACTATTGCTATCCTTGGCATTTTGGTTCTTATTTACTAATGGTATGTATAACAGTTCTGAGAGTGTGGGTGCCACAATCAAATACCAGTTCATCAGTGTAGCCAGGACACAGCTTTACTGTGATTTGACAACTCCCAGCAGCAAGACATACACATGAATTGCTATCCGGAATATACTTTTAAGTGTGTATAATTAGGAAAACTATTTCATAAAACAACACCCTGGCTGTATATTCTGAGCTGTTCAACTTGTTGCGTTCTGGTCACAACCCTGAGCTGATTTCCTGACTCCCCAATGAAGTGCAGCCCACAGTGGGCAGTGCTGATGTAGGCCACAGTTTCGGTCTAGAAGAGGAAGAGGAGCCACAGCAGCCCAGCCTCTGTGCCAGCTGGGCTTGGGTTTCCTGTCTGCTCTGCCTCCCGCTGCTGAGCGATCTCTGGCCATTTACCTATGATTTCTGGACTTTACATTCCTCGTCTCTTGGTCACAGTGACTTGCCTGGTTCTGTTAGCTATGGCCTTACTTGTAGGAGATTTAAACAAAACAAAACAAAACAAAACAAAACAAACAAAAAACCCGAGTAGGGGTGTTTGGGAGGTTGGTCATCCTGAGGAGGGGTGTTTGGGAGGTATGTGCCTATATGTGTGCTTTGGTGGTGTGCAGGCTTCGCTTGAACAGGTGTCACGCTCTGTGTCTAGGGCATCTTCTTGTGTGTAACTCTGCAACCTGGCAGGCAGCGTGTGGAAGTTTCCACGCATGTGAGTTAATGTGCATTTGTCTTTCTGGAGGTCATGATTGTGGTTGGTGGCCAGGCTCCTAAGGCGATCCGCAGTGTGGAGTGCTATGATTTTGAGGAGGGCCGCTGGGACCAGATAGCTGAGCTTCCCTCCAGGAGGTGCCGAGCAGGTAAGCAGCCCTGGTGGCCCTGGCTCACCTGGGCTCCAAGCCCCCCCCCCCCCCCCCGCTGGTCTCTGCCTCACGATGGCTGTGCTGCACCTTATTTCCCCAGACTCCCCTTCCCACCAGCACACGGGGGACACTTGCTTTGAAGTCAGTTCTTACCTACCAACTTACCAACTTCGGGAATTTGCTCAAATCAGGTGAAGTGAGAGAAAGGAATAGCAGAAGAAACCCGAGTTCCACAGTTACAGATAGCTAAGGCTGGAGGTGGCCTTCCGTAGGGAGTCAGTCATATCCCCACCCTGCTTTCTCGATGTCATCCATCAAATTGGGCAGTCACCCCCCCCCCCGACTCTCATGCCTTGTGTTCCTGTGTCTCAGGTGTGGTGTTCATGGCTGGCCATGTGTATGCCGTGGGTGGGTTTAACGGTTCTCTGCGGGTGCGGACAGTGGACGTGTATGACAGCGTGAAGGACCAGTGGACATCCATTGCCAGCATGCAGGAGCGCCGGAGCACGCTGGGTGCGGCCGTGCTCAATGACCTTCTCTACGCAGTTGGGGGCTTTGATGGCAGTACCGGTAGGTCCTTGGCATACCCTCTTACCCTGCGCCACCTTGCTTTGCTTTGCTCTGTCAGTTCTTGCTAGTCTCTTTGCAACCGGAGCAGCGCCCTAGGAATGAATCCGTCGGAATTAGTGAGCTCTCCTTCGTGGTCATGAGATGCTGATGGAACCCTCACACACAGAAAAGGCATCCGTGGCTTACAGTTGTCAGGTGCCAGTCCACAGCCTGTGTGGACCTGTGGTGAGGTCATTCATCACGACACAGTGTGGCCACGTGAAACGGCTCACTTCATTAGCCAGGAAGCAACAAGAAGAGAAGAGACTATGATCTTAAGTCGCCTCAAGGGTCACCACCAGTGCTAAGGATTCCCCCAAAGGTCCCAGTACTTCCCACTACAACTATCCAAGAAACAAGCCGTCAGCGTAAATGTATAGCTCTCTAGGGCATTCAAGGTCCAAACTCTTAAGTTCCGTCATCCTAGTCACTCAGCCTACGGGGCTGGAAACAAGCCTTCTTGTGTATTGAGGTCATAGCTGCTTTAGGATGTGCTGGCTTCTGAGGAGACCCTGCAGTCAGAAGGGCCCTTTCTTTCCTCTCCTGTGCCTAGCAGCCTGTGTCCTCAGAGGATCAGGAAGAGGAAGGAGCTGTTCGGATGGAGCATATTCAGGATTCTAGTCTGAGCAGTTGACTGAGCAGTTGAGCAACCCGAGGCTCAAGCTTTGAGGTTCTTGGCTCAGAACCCATACTGTTGCCCCATTGGCCACCGTTCTTTCTACTGCCCCGCAGAGCCCAGCTGTCTGTGCCACCAGCTCATGGGCCTCACTCCCAGTTTTTATCTCACTTCAAAATTTCAACCTGGGGTCTGGAGAGAGCACTGGCTGGCTGCTCTTCCATAGCACCCAGGTAATTTCCAAGTATCCATATGGCAGCCCCAACCATCTGTAACTTTAGTGGGCAAAGGTTTGGAGAGAGGTCATCTGTACTTATGGTGTCAGGTAAGATGACTGAAGTCTGTGACTCCAACTTCAGGGATAGTCTTTGGCCTTGAGGGAAGTAATAACTGTTTGTTTGTTTGTTTGTTTGTTTTTTTATTGAACACCTCTCTGGAGGTCTGTTAGTGAGAATGACCTAGGAAGGAATAGTAGTTATTTCAGCAGGACTTCCTTTTGCTGCAGAGAAAGCCTAGCCGACTCCATGTTTGTTGAAACTCCATGTTTGTTGACTCCATGTTTGTTGAAACATGGAGTGCAGAGGTCACTGATCCCAGTTTGGTCTGATTGCACGCGGATACTGGAGCCAGATTCTTCAAGCTCCTCTTGGCTCTCCTCGTGCTAACAACATAGCCATCATGACTCCAGCCAGGTCATTTGTGTCCCTGGTAGCAAGAAGCAGGAAGGGGTTGTGCCTGTATCAGAAATATGAAGGCCACCCAGAAATTGCACACCAGATTTCTACCCAAGCTCAGTGCCACCTTGGAAGGTACATTTTTAGCCACCCAGCTGTAAATTGGGGACTGGTGTTCGGCATGGCATCACATGTTCCATTCTGTAAGTTTAATGGTTTATATCTGCAGTGCAGGTAAGATGTACCCTTGCCATCCCACCAGCTTCCTTGTAAGTCATATCTTGGTGGTCAGTGGTCGACTTAAGTAGGCTGAGGAGTTACTGTGGCCACTTGCCAGGCAGAGGCGTACCAAGCTGGACTTCCGGAGTCTGTGGTCCTGTCTTGCCCTCTGTCTGGCCCCACTGTTCCTCACACGTCAGGGTGAGTGAGGCTCATGGCTGTAGAAATATCATTATTCTCTTCTCCCTAGGCCTGGCATCGGTAGAAGCCTACAGCTACAAGACCAATGAGTGGTTCTTCGTGGCTCCCATGAACACTCGGCGGAGCAGTGTGGGTGTGGGTGTCGTGGAGGGTAAGGAGGCTGTAGAGGATGGTGGCTGGTCCCACCCCAGCCTGAGGGCCTTGTCCCTAGTCCAGCACCTCGCTCCATGCTCTACTGTGGCTGTACTTTTCAGGTCACTGGTCCACGGTCTGTAGTTAGCAGGCAAGGAAGGGTGCGACTCAGGGGGGAAGCTCCTGAGCCAAGGCCGAGAAAGGGCTCAGTAGCTTAGAGGAAGAAAGAGGCAGCCCGTCCCTTGGGCCACTTGTAAATATCTCTGCTAACAGTGGGGGTTGGGAAGGAAGTAAGGAGCCCAGAGTCAACCCGGGACCTGGGGTACCGAGGAGGGGTGCTGACTATGGTTGGCTAGTTCTCTGCTCACCTTCGTGGTTGCTGGCAGGGCCACGAGAAAGGCAGGTTTTTTTTTCAGGTCTGATACATCTCAGGATAGGCTAGGTGTCAGGGGTGGCCAAGGCAGGAGAATGTGGTGAGATTGGAGGCCTGGCCAGACAATGCTCAGAAATTTGTAAAACATCCCTTTCTCTTACTAATTCTCTTGAGCCCTCTGGAAGAACGTAGGTAGGTCTCAGAGTTTTCCTCAGTGTGGGAACTGAATCCTGGAGAGAGCAAACGAAGTACTTAAGTTATGATAGTAAATCTCAGGGCCCTCCTAGTCTAGATTCGGAGACCATTCTCAGCTGCTGATAGGTAGGAGTTTGTGAGTTTGGTACCAAAGCAGAGAGTATGAGCTGAACTCAAATATTAGACACGATGAGCCAATGCAGATTTATTAGCCTGTACTAGTCTGCTCATCCAGATGTGTGCAGGGCTGCTTCGTGTGCCCCTCCCCCCACATTAGCCTAAAGTGCAGTGAGATGGTATCTTAGTTTGTTTTCTGTTGCCGTGATAAAACACTGACCAAAAACAACTTGGGGAAGAAAGGGTTTGGCTTGTAGATCACAGTCCATTAAATAAATAAATAAATAAATAAATAAATAAATAAATAAATAAATAAGTCAATAAATAAAGCAGGAACCCAAGGCAAGAACTGATGCTGAGACCATGAGGAGTGCTGCCTGCTGGCTTGCTCTCTGTGGCGTGCTCAGCCTGCTTCCTTATATACAACCCAGGACTACTTGCGTGGGGATAGCATTACCCACAGTGGACTGGGCCCGCCCCCATCAACTTGCAATTAATAAAATGAGCCACAGAATCGCAGGGTAATTGGCTCCTTGCCTCCTGGAAGACTCTTTCAGAAGGACAAGGTACAATCTGATGGAGACAGTCCCTCAGCTGAGGCTCCCTCTTCCCTGGTGAGTCTAGTTTGCGGCAAGCTGACACACACTAACTGGCACAGACGGCGACTGTCTCCTCTCGGCACGTCTCAGCCCGCAGCGCGGTTATGTAGTTTGAAATTTCCACTTAAAGGTGTGTTATCCCAGCATAGCTGAACATATTGTCTTAGGGAGGCCAGGATTCTATCCCTCGGTCAGGATAGATTAATTATTTCTTGGGGTCTCATCCTCTTGGTGAGACAGAAGTTGATTTGTCTAGCCAGGAGCACCGAACAACAGAGCAGGAGTTAAAGGCTTGCTGACACACTCAAGGCCAGACCTTGAGTGGCCGTTTGCTTCGGCTGGTACGAGGTTGGAGTGGTTGGTGGGGTTGGAGCAGGTGCCTTGATGGCAGAGAGTTAAAATACTGTCCTGACAGGGGCTTTTGTCAGAATGCCAACAGCTTGCCCTGCCGCTGCAGAGGAGGGCTGGGGCTTGTTTTTTGCCCTCCTGCCCCTGAGGCTCTGTGGGCTGTGGGCTGCCTGGGCAGCAGAAAGTGTTTCTAAGAATGCGGAGGAGGAATTGGAGTGGACCTTGCCTCACAATGGCCGAAGACTCTTTCTGCCCGGTCTGTTCTGTCTCTCCCCCTCACTCCCAAGGCTATGCAGCCTGAATGACCCGTAGCAGTCACAGGATAATTGGCTCCTTGCCTCCTGGAAGACTCTTTCAGAAGGACAAGGTACACAGTATGGGGTGGAGTGTAGACAGAAATGCCCATCAGAGCAGACAGGGTGTCACAGAGATGGGACCGCCTGAGCCAGTGTACATGAAGGAGTCGCCTGGACTCTGGAGAGGGTCCTTCGTGAATTTGTCTGTCTGTCTGTCGGCTGCAGTTGAGGTCTTTTTGACAAAGGTCAATTGAAAAGACTCAAAGAGAAAAGAGTTTGGCAACAGGAGGATCGCTGGGTCAGCAGTCCTGATGGCCTGAGAAGCTAATGACGTAATCATGCATTCTCACATCCTAGCTGTACCCTCGTATTAGGGACTCACACAACGACCCCCAGCTCTTGAGTAAGTAATTCTGTTAAGTAGATTTGCCCATGCCTTTGTTGATTCAGCCTGAAGCTGGTGTCAGTTTAGCTACTGTCACGGCATCCTGCACATCTGATTGTCCACAGGTGGAGCAGGGTTCTTTCTCTGTCTCCACAGAAGGGACTGTCCTATCATGTCTAAAACTAATTGTTAAAATTGTGTTCGAACCCTTGTCCTCACATAGGTCAGGTAACCGTTTTTCCTTTCCTTATTGTACCCAGCTTCCAGCTTCCCACCCCAGATAGAAATAACACAGGGAGACCCAGGAGCTTAGCCTTATTTTTACTTAAGAGCAGTTGATAATGCTTCGGGGTTCTTGTCCATGGCTCAGAGAACACAGGTGGCCTGCAGAAAAATGCCAGCTGCCCCAGCCCAGAGCGTACCCAGCGTGCCTGACACACCTGCTCTGCAAGCCAGTGTGCCGAGAGGAGTCCCTGGGGCTGCGCTTGGCTCTCACTGAAAGATACTCTTCTATTTTCTCACTTGTCACACTGTGAGCCTAGAGCCAGCGGGTGGGTGTGTGGTCACGGCTGAGAGCCCTGTAGCTTCCGGCACTGGCATCTTCTTCTGGATGCGCTTGAGCCTAGTTCTCCAAGCAAGCCTGTACTGAGCCTCAGGGATGCTGAGTGGGTGCGCCGTGCTGGGTACCTGGGCTCTAAGTGTCTCATGGCTTCAGAGCAGACAGAAGGCAGGGATGGGAGGGGCCGTGTGCCCCGTGGCTGGAGAACAAGCTGGGTGCTCTAGAAGGAGGGGACCCAGAACCCCAGATGAGGCAAAGGCAGCAGCTCAGCGGGATGAAAGTGGAGCTTTTACCAGCCGAGCTCCTGTGCCGTGTCCGCGTCCCCAGCACACCCTCAGTCCCTTCGTCTGTTCCAGGGAAGCTGTATGCCGTCGGGGGTTATGATGGCGCTTCCAGGCAGTGCCTGAGCACTGTGGAGCAGTACAACCCGGCCACCAATGAGTGGACATACGTGGCAGACATGAGCACCCGACGCAGTGGCGCTGGTACGTGAGAGCCTCGGGGTACGGGAGAGCCCTGGGGTCCAGGCTGCATCCTCTTTCCTTGTGGCTGAGACTAGAGACAAGCAACGGAACCGTACCCTATTCCCCCTCATGCCGTCTCCTTTCCTCTCGTTGGAATAGCCCCACCACATGCACACCACATATGAGGACCAGCCTTTCCCAGCGACGCCTAGCTCAGCACGGAAGGTGTGCTGACTTTACTGCTTTCCTATCACTACTGTTTTCTGTTTGTTTGAGACAAGTTCTCCATGGCCCAGGCTAGCCTCAAGCTCACCAGTAGCCTAGGCTATATCTGGGCATTCCCTTGTTTGTACTCAGGCCTACCTCTCTGGGGAGTACAGGCCAACTCTGTGCTGAGTGCTGTCATGGTACAAATGCCTTCCCTTCCTTCCTCCAAATCTTACGATGTAGCCCAGGCCGCCCTCAGACTTCAGCCTCTGGGATTACAGGTGTGTCTGGCCTGAGGCCTCCACCCACTTACTCCTTACCTCAGTTTATCAACGCTGATTCCACTGACAAGATTTTGAAAGTCCTACCAGAGGTGGCTCGCTTTGCCCATGGCTTTAGAATTAGTGACTTGTAGAGTTAGAATTCTCTCTCCAAAGTAGGAGCCTTTAGTCCTCAAATAATGAGCCTCAGTCCTGTCCTGGCTTTAGCTGACAAGCTCAGCTTGCTTCCTGAAGCTGTTGCCTTGGGACGAAAAGCCAGCATGGTAGTGTTTATGGCTGGAGATAAGCCTATGGCCCTTGTCCCTACCTTTTCCTTACATTGTTCCTCCCCAACAAGTGGAGAAAATGATCTCCCAAATGTTTTTCTATTTCTGTCCTGTGAGAGGTCCAGGCACTCATGAGCTACTTCCACAGTCCCTTCCTTTCTCCTCGTCTTCCCCATCATCCCTGAGCTGTGGTCTGGGAGAGCAGGCAGAGCCTTGGCTCTTGGTTCCTAGGGCTCCTGGTGATGAATCTGAGCCTCAGTGTGGGGCTGGTGGGAAGACCTCGATTCCTGGGAAGAGAAGCCAGATGCTCTCCACAAAGTCACACATTCATTTTCTCTCTGACCCTCTCACATATCTTCATTCTTAGCATTAGGCCATTTTAGTTTTTTTTTTTTTTTTTAAGAGACGTTTTGTGTACACGTCAGCGGGGTCGTGGAGTTGAATGTCTGCATGGTTCCATTTCAGAAGCATGTGGGGGGGAGGCTGTCTCTGTGAGTCTTGACAGGTTGGCCCCTCATGAATGCCTTGAAGTCAAGAAGCCCGAGCTTTAGAGCTGGGTGGGCTTGTCCTTGCCACGTCATCTTGGGCGACCCCATTCCCCGCCCTTGGCATTTAGTGCCCCCGCTGTGCTGTGCCCATGCTCTCAGGGGACCAGTTCCATTCATAACTCCTGTGATTTCCCCCTCTTCCCTGACGGTTTAGCTGTGATAGCTTCAGGCACCTTCCTTGCACCTCCTAAGATCCGTGTGGTGATGCCCTTTCCCTGTGGGTTGTGCAGAAGGTGGTTGGGAGGAAGGTGGCGTCACCTGGCCCATCCTTGCCTGGAGGCCCCAGATGCTGCTGTTACTGCTGTCTGTGTCTCTGGGAGGCCTGGTGACCTTGGCTGGGATGACTCTTGTGACTTTTGTGACTCAGCGCACAGCATAGCAGAGCAGATGGTCGGAGAGAGGGACCATCTCAGGGTTCCAGAGGTGTCAGTCCTGCTGATCCCGGAGGAAGGGAAGGGGAAGCAGCTTGGAGTCTACTGAAGGTTCCCAATCCCACAAGCTGACAGCAGCCGTTGGTGGCCCAGCAGCACCATCTGCTGCCAGATTTGGGCAACTGCTGGGAACCACTGGCTGTCCGCATAACCACTGCCTGGGAGTCTACCGTACACCCCTTCATTTAGATAGCATCTGCTGGGAGCGCGCCAGCAGCAGCCTCTGGGAAACAGAGCAGGGCAAGACATAAGCAGTTCCTGACCTCCTGAAGTCTGTAGCCTCCAGGTCCAGCTCTTGGGCCCACAGACCTGCTGCACATCAAATTCACCAAGACAGCCTTTTGGGCTTCTGGCCAGTAGCTCTGGGGTGAAAGTTCCGAACAGAAAGGATGCAGCCTGTCCACAGAAGGGAGTAGTCCACGGAATCACTGAGTCATCCTGGCTCCCTTCTTCCACAAACGGGGAAGAGAAAGGGCCACCCCAGAGGAGGAGAGGAAGGCCTAGGTGTCCCACCTTCCAGAGCCACTGTTCTCACTAGGTGCGGCCTTCCTCCTCAATGGCTAAATCTCCTTATCACACAGCAAAGGCCCACTCCCCGCCGCCCTGGCAGCTCCCCCACCCTCACCCCTGTCCCTGGACATTTGATGCCTTCTGCCATCAGGGCACAGGCTGGCAAGGTGTCTGTCCTCAGCACCTTGCTCTGTGCTCTGTGTCAACGGGTACAAGGCTGAATAATAAGATGTTAAGGGAAAACAAGGCCGCATGGTGGAGAGGCCAAAGGGGAAACAAATGGTGTCGGTTGAGAATCAGCCTCTTGTCACATCCTATTGTGTTTCTCTGAGTTTTTTTTTTTTTTTTTTTTTTTTTTTACCCCTTGTTACCCTCTGTAGATGTATGCACACATACATATTTACATTTTAAAAGCAGAAATGGGGTCACACTGGCTTTGTTCCTCAGTGTTTGCAGGCAGCCTGTCTTGTGGGGAGCCAGGTGAGCATCATTGTTTATTTGTTTTACAGATTATGAGGGCAATGAGGTCCAGGGAGATGGGACTTGCTCCCCAGGTCACTCTGCCAGCGATGGCTCACCAGGGCTGGGCACCAGGCCTCTTGGGTCTTGTTTTTTTTCTATCGAGCCTGGGGCTGGGACACTGTGTTCTGCCTTTCAGGGGTTGGGGTGCTCAGCGGACAGCTGTATGCCACTGGGGGGCATGACGGACCCTTGGTGAGGAAGAGTGTTGAGGTTTACGATCCTGGGACCAACACCTGGAAGCAGGTGGCAGACATGAACATGTGCCGACGTAATGCAGGTAACGTGACTGGAGGGGGCGGTGTCACAGCTGGTGCCCATATTCACCTGTGCGATGGCTCTCGCTGGTCGCCACGCACAGAGCTGTGTGGACCCCAAGCCACACAGAGGTACTGCCAGTGTCTGGCTGAAAGGTTTTCACATCTCCACAGAGTCCAAATTCCTTCCTAGCGGGAGAGCCGGACCCCACCTCACGCCCCTCTGTCATCTCTCCCTTTATTGTTTTCCTTGTATTCCCAGTCCCCACTTCCCTCTGCTCTTCGAATCCTTCCCATAGGGAGAGCCTGTCACGTGCTGCAGGGCCTGCCAGGCCTGCGAGGCAGTTTCCTTTCACGACGTTGCTGTTGCTTGGAGCTGGGCATTGCTGTATGTGGCTTTGTGCTTCTTTGCTCTGGGAAAGGGTGGCATGGCTTTGCCCACCTTCCCAGGATGGACTGGCTAACAGGTGCTGCCAGGAAGAGTTCCTGCTTTTATTCTCACGGTAGCTGTTTGCTAAACTCACTGTGGCTGACTTGTTGGAGGCGTAAACAGAGGCGTTCCTCCTTGGCTCACCGCCTGAACCTGCTGCGATACCTTGGCGTTTGGCCTCTAGCTACACAAACAAGGAATTATAACACCCGTAAGGCAGCTAAGTCTGCCTCTAGCCTGTGAATTAGGTTTAAACATGGACGTGTACAAACATCCCCAGGTATATGTTACTTATTTAATAAGTAATAATAAGATCCTATCATAGCATTGTTTTTTTTAATTTTTTATTTAATTTTTATTAATTACACTTTATTCACTTTGTATCCCCCCATAAGCCCCTCCCTCCTCCCTCCCGATCCTACCCTCCCTCCCCCTTCTTCACGAATGCTCCTCCTCAAGTCCACTGATAGGGGAGGTCCTTCTCTCCTTCTTTCTGATCTTAGTCTATCAGTTCTCATCAGAAATGGCTGCATTGTCATCTTCTGTGGCCTGGTAAGGCTGCTCCCCGCTCAGGGGGAGGTGATCAAAGAGTAGGCCAATCAGATTATGTCAGAGGCAGATCCTCTTCCCATTACTATGTAACCCACTTGGACACTGAACTGCCATGGGCTACATCTGTGCAGGGGTTCTAGGTTATCTCCATGAATAGTCCTTGGTTGGAGTATGAGTCTCTGGGAAGACCCCTGTGTTCAAATTTTCTTGTTCTGTTGCTCTCCTTGTAGAGTTCCTGTCCTCTCCAGCTCTTACTATTTCCCACTTTTTACATAAGGAAATCATGAAATTTGCAGGTAAATGGTGGGACCTGGAAAGATCATCCTGAGTGAGCTGTCCCAGAAGCAAAAAGACACACATGGTATATACTCACTCATATAGACATACAACATAGGATAAACCCACTAAAATCTGTACATCTAAAGAAACTAAGCAAGAGAGAGGACCCTGACTAGAACACTCAATCCCCATCCCAAAAAGCAAAGAGGATAGGCTCACGGGTAATTGTCACATGGCGATTGTGTCTTCCCCGTGTCTCCAGAAGAAGAAGAAAACAGGAAACAACCTAGGAACCTGCCACAGAGGGCCTCTGAAAGCCTCTGCCCAGCAGACTATCAAAGCAGATGCTGAGCCTGATGGCCAACTGCTGGGCAGAGTGAATGGAATCATAGCATTGTTTTAAAACTTGCCTTTCAATCTTTCATCAGCATCTAATTACTAACCCTATCTTCTCGCTCCCAATTATCAGGGCTCTCTCAGAACTTACCAATTCAATATTGGCTACTTCATTTATGTCCTCTTCTCTAGGCTGCCAGCGACGCTGTAGTTATAAATGATCTTTATAGTTAAGCCAATGTACACATTTAAAATGACCTCTAGAAGGAACAGCCAAGAGTAGAATCTTGAGGCAGAGGAAGGATACGTGTTTTAGATGCCGTGCAGGGAGGCAGCGTATTTTGTGCCCTTCGCAGTACTGAGAGTATTCATCAGCATTGCTAGTTACTACTTTAAAAAGCGTCATTGATTAAGTGGAGTTTGTAAAAAGAAAAAAAACAAAAACCAAAAAAACAAAAAACAAAACCAAACCCAAAACCCACTCTCTGCTGGACTACGAGTTTTAAGTTGTTGAATAAAAGTTACATTTCACTGCTCTTCCATCCAGCTTTATGAGACCTTGCCTTCAAACAACTCACACTGTTAGGAACGAGAAGGGAACCCCAACCTGGGGTACTGTTTGTGAATTCAAATGCCCATCTTGTGAGGCAGCTACAGTTTTAGCTGCCTCACGGCTCGTCAGGGCAGAAATGTGAGCTCAGAGGCATGAGGGCATCCTGGCACCTTGTCTCTTTCCTAGCTCAGGCTGACAGGGAGGCCTGCATGCTCCCCATAAAAAGTTCCCTCGGGGAAACCCGCCCCTGCAGTGTTCTCTCTGTAATGTGGAGGTGGCGGGTGGGGAGAGGCGTGCAGCGGGAGCATCCGTAGGACCCTCTGAGCCCAGCGGCTATGCTCAGCATGCTCCTCCACTGAGTGGCTCAGACCTCAGGATTACATCTCTGCTGTGCGACAGAAACTGGGGAAGAGAGGCTGTGGGCCCGGGACCAGCTTCCCATGGCTCCTGATTCCTCGCCCCGTGACTTCGGTTTGATTTGCAGGGGTCTGTGCGGTGAATGGGTTCCTGTATGTGGTCGGAGGGGATGATGGATCCTGCAACCTGGCGTCAGTAGAGTACTACAACCCGGTCACTGACAAGTGGACGCTGCTGCCAACCAACATGAGCACTGGGAGGAGCTATGCAGGTCAGTTGGTGTGCAGCTCCGGGGACCTACACACCAAGGGCAGGGACAGCAGGAGACGATGAGGGCTTGCTTTCAATGGGGAATGGAATGCTTCCTGTAGGCTCACGGGTAATTGTCACATGGCGATTGTGTCTTCCCCGTGTCTCCATGACCACCACTTCCCCCGTGAATCTGAGTGTAGCCTTGGAATACTTAAAGGCATGCTGTGCCTTGCCTCGGCCACTCCTGGTTCACTTTGTGCTAGGCATTGTGGGTGGGAGAGCATGGTTCTCGATCTTTAGAAGTTAGACCTCCCTGTACGGACTGGAGCTCTGAATGGATGCCTCAGGACACAACAGTTGTGAGAATAGCATTCCGTTCTTAGGAGATGGCTTTGTTGGATTCTGGGTAGTCTCACGGACCAGCTGCCTTTTATTGCACTCTTTTTATGTTAGTTATTTTCCTGTTGTGACAGATTCCTGAGAGGAGCTGTGTAAGTGTGTGTGTGTGAGTGGAGGTATTTTGTCTCCCGGTTTCAGGGATTTCAGCCTGTTGTCTCTTGGTTACTTTGTTTCTGGTGGACTATGGGGCTCAACACTCAGGGCTGCTGCAGGCAGCATGTGGGAGAGTGGCCCGTGGAAGCCAGGGTCAGAGAAACCTGAGTGGGTCAGGTTCAAGTGCCCTGCAGTGGCGCCCTCTGGCCACTCGCCCCTCCCCCTCTTCAGGTTTCCAACATCTCCCAGAATAGCACAGCCAGCTGGGCCCCAAACCTTCAATGGCAGCAGTGCCTGCAGGGGCAGCAGCTGCAGCCCCAGCTGTAGCAGCCTGGCCTGAGCGGGCTGGGCCAGTGTGGTGGGTGCGGTGTGCACGCTCCCTCTCGTCTTCTCAACAGCCCTCAGGCTGAGTAGGACTGCATGCCCCCACCCCACAGCCGAACTGTGGAGACTGTATGTAACCACCAAATGCCAGCACATCGCCAGTAGGCACGAACCCAAAGTTCATACATAGGTCTGGCCTCTTTCTATAGTGTCCCAGTCCAGGGCTGAGTAAAAGAGGCTGAGGGGTGATGGGTAGACTGGGGTGGGGGTGATGGGTAGGCTGGCACAGAGGATCTGGTGCCAAGTCCTGCACAGGGCGAAGAGCTGATGTTGCTGAGGTCAGAGATCCCCTGAAGAGGAGAAGCACAAGCCCAGTTTCGTATGTCTGGCCTAAGCGTTTAGGTTAAATGGTCTAAATGTTTATTTACGGGGCACACACACAACGTGCCATCCATATGCCAACTATTTAAGCCATGCTTTTGCGTCACATACACCTTGGCTCCCATGCTTTTCCTCTTACTCCCACATCCGTGAGGAAGGCCAGCCATTCTGTCTTGTTCAGGTTTCAGGACGTGCTGCCTGTGTCATGCGGGTGCCAAGGGCTCTGTCCCCTTCTTTCCTCACCGCAGTGCATTTCTTTCACCTTCCCCTCCCTTAAGCCTTTCTCACAGGGTCACATTTCCTTCACTAAGACACTGGAAGCGTTTTGATCCTAGAACAACTCTGTTCTCACGAAAATCAGCACCCTTTTTCCTGAAGCCACAGAGGAGAGCGCAGGGCCTTTGTAGGATGAGGAAGAGGGCGGGACCCTTGGGCCCCTCCCCTGTGTTGATGAGAAGTGGGCGGGACCCGTGGGCCCCTCCCTTGTGTTGATGAGAGGTGAGTGGGCTGCGTAGGACCCATTAGGATTTCATGTATGCTCTGGATGTTTCAAAAGCCTGTCTGCCCACGCCAGGACTGGTGAGAAGGAGACAATCAAGCCATTTTGTCCTCAAATCAACCGACGTTATTTTAAAATCTAGGGAGTGGGTCTGATGTGCCAAGACTTAAGGCTGACATTACTTATCTGAGCGTTGCTTATAGTAGCACCGTCCTCTGGGCTTTGCTTATAATAGTGCCCCTCCCCCACATCATAATAATGATTGACATTAGGGAAACAGTTACATTTTCTATGGACTGCTTACTCAGTGGGTATATTGTTTTCTATCTTTTTACAAATTGAAAATATATATTTTTTCATACAGTATATTCTGATTATGATTTCCCTTCCCCCAGCTCCTCCCCACCTCCCCATAGTTTTAAGGCCATGAGGAAATGCTTGTGCCTGACCTGTTGGATTAGAAGAGGTTGAGTATGCCCAGTGCACTGAGTGCTCTGGCCCTATTGGAGGACAGGGAAGTTGAAGAGCTGTTAGTTCTGGAAATGGGTATGGGAGTCCCAGATCTGCTGCTAGTCCTGGGGCTCTGGGCAAGATATTCCACCTAACTGAACTTGCGTTGTCTCAGTTGAAAAATGAGGGTAGAATTAGATTGTGCCTCTGAGGGCTTTTAAGAGGATGTACCCGTGATAATGCGTGTGAAGTTTGTAGCATGTTGCCTGCCTGGTGTGAGTCACCACAGGCTAACGCACTCTGGTTATTATTAGAAGCTGGGATGTATTAAAAAGATAATGGCTGCGCTGTTGGTATGAAGGGATAAAAGACTTTTCCTTTGTGTTCTGTGTTTTCCAATTTTTCCATAATGAGAGCATATTTTTTTTTTCTAATAAAAAAATTCTTATATAGAACACTACATGAAGATACTACAGGAGTCTGCTCTTGAAAAGTATTACTTAGTGAGAGGTAGCTGAGGTAATGAGAGCTACCTCTCACTACGTAGCTGGAGTCTAGGTGAGGGTGCCAAGGCCAGCGGGTGGGTACCTTTGGTCTGGACTCAGGTGTCCACAAAATGCTTACAAAATGTCTCTGATGTAGTATCCCCCCCCCCCTTTCCTTAGTTTCTCGTCTTCAGTTCGAATGTCTTATAGCTACAGGACTATGTTAAAATAAATAGTTAAAATAAATATCTAGCAAAAGTGTTTACTCCTGGGCAGTTTCTGAGTTAGGATTTTAGTAGCAGGTTCCAGAAACCTACCCCTGGGAAGGACATGCAGGGTCCCAAGTAGAAAGACGTGAACAAGCCACCATCACAGCACAGAAGGCTTGCCTCACCTTCTCCTTGGCTATGACCGGGCCACAGGCAGTCTAGGAGGCTGGTTTGTCACAGCTGGCATCTGTACTAGAGGGCAATGTATGTAGAAAGCATGTTGGCTGTCTCAGCCTCTGGTGTCGTCTACACTGACTCAGTGGATCACAGTGAGACTTGGGTTGTGAGTGGATTTACAAAGTTAGGTTTGTTAAGTTTTACAAAAGCACTGACACACAGGACATGCTTGAAATGTTTGTCCAGTTGGGAGTCAAACACTGGGTAAGGGTGTCAGTTCTAGGATTTTGTGGACTGGTGTGTGAGGAGTCTGCCCGCATGAGCTCCTTACGATCATGTTTGTGGATACAGACGGACATCCCAACAGGACATATCAGAGTGGAGACTGCAGCTGCTGGCAGTGATAGCTTGTGACCCTTGGGGACCTATTGGCTATGACTTAGGTGTTGGAGATTCCTGGGCTCCTTGGGACTCTGAAAAAATCAGGAGAAGCTAAGATTGTAACTTTCTTTCCCTTTCATGTTAGGTGTTGCTGTGATTCACAAATCCTTGTGACCCGAACTCCCTGCCTGTGACTCACTCAGCAGGGAGCAGCTGGACCATGACAACTGATGAGATTGACTGGGAGGCTCTGCAGTGGTTTGACAACCACCCGAGTTGTCTTGGCAGGCCAGCCTCAACCCTCTCGGTGTGGACATTGATGACCCACCTTCTGCTCCCAGGTGCTTTGGTTTCTGCTCTAACAGTTGGGTTCCTGACAGCCCCAGCAGCACCCTTGGGAGTGTGTGTGTGTGTGTGTGTGTGTATGAGTGTGTGCATGTGTGTAAAACATTTCATTCAGTGGGGCCTGGGGCTGTGTAAGCATCTACTAGATTTCATTACTACTGATATTTTTACTGTGCTAAACTCCTACACACATCTTCTGGACTTGTCCTGTGGACATACTAGACTACTAAAGATGCTGTCTTCTGGAGGTCCAGGCAGAACTAGCCAAAAGCACACTCCACCATGTCTGGGACCATGACTTGACTACTGTAGCCATGTGGAATTTGGAGGTTTCTTCAGAGCTGCTCTATAGCCTCCATGTACCTCCAGGGTACCTGTGCCATTGCCTCTTCCTTGGCTGCTTTCTAGGAGGTGGATGAGAACTGTTTTGTCTTCACATCTTGGCCTCTAGTCTTTGATGTCATGGATTGAAGGTTTGGAAGATTTTGTGTCTTTTCAGCAGGGAAAACAAACTCATCAGATAATTGCTAGGTCAAACACTGGAGAGACATAGACAGGAAAAGCAAGCAAGGAAGCAAGCTATCAAGCAAATGAGCAAGTAAGCAAGCAAGAGGGCAAACAGTCGATCAAGTGAGCAAGCAAGTGAGCAAGCGAGGAAGTGCTCAAGCAAGCAAGTGCTCAAGCAAGCAAGCAAGTCATCAAGCAAGCTAGATAGCAAGCAAGCATTTATGCAAGCAAGCACTCAAGCATGCACACACTGCAAGCAAGTGAGCTAGCAAGCAAGCAAGCTAGCTAGCAAGTGCTCATGCAAGCAAGCTAGCAAGCAAGCTATCAAGAAAGCAAATGAGTGAGTAAGCAAATGATCAAGTAAGCAAGCAAGCATGCGAGGTAGCAAGCAATTGAGCAAGCAAGCAAGCTATTGAGCAAGCAAGCAGACAGACACTAAAACCAAAGTGGTATGGATGTTCTTTCCACCCACAGTGATCTCAGAGAGGTACCCTGCCTTTGACTGTTCTCAGGGCACCTACCCTATTTATTATGCTTTTTTATATAGGCTTACTTATTCATGGTATCAGCACTCATGTGGAGGATGAGTAAAAGGTCACCCGGCCACTAAACCCAGAGATAGGTTTGTCCCTGGGTTAGGAGGGGCCATGCATAACTCAGAGGGACATGAATGACTTCTAAGAAATATACTAGCTGGATCTGGCCATTTGTGATGATGGTCAGGGCTACCCATATCGTTATCTTCCCTTTCTCATGATTCCCTCCTCTTTCAGGGTCCTCATCCTTTCCCCGGCCTCCAAAACACCCCATTTTCCTTTCCTTTTGGGGAGGAGATAGTAGTGCGCCCTTCCTCAAAGACACCTGTATTTTAAAAAATGAAAGCAACGTTTTGCTCAGCCACAGATCCAAATTATTAAGAATGTAACTTCAGGTACCTGGCGTGGCATTTGGAGGTTCGTGAAAGCACACACATTAAGGGGCGGGGGTCGGATGTTTGCTGCACAAGCATGGATTTGATTTCTAGCACTGATGTAAACAAACAAACAAACAAAACCAAAACCTCTCTGGGTAGAGCAGTTCGCATCTGCTATGTTAAAGCTGGGAAGGCTGAGGTTGGCAGAAACCTGAGCCTTTGGGGGGACAACCAGCCTAGGCTACCCAGCGGTCTCAGGCCTCAGGCAGAGACTCATAAAACATGAGTCAGCAAAAATGCTGGCTCCTGAGGACCAACGTTAAAGGTTGACCTCTGGTCTTTGTACAAACAAAGAGCTTCAAAGCCGAACTCTTCCTAAGCAAGGAAATTGCTTGTACTGGCATTTCTGCTGCAGGGGGGTGGGGTGGGGACTTTGTGCCCGGAGAACAGTCTCACACCCAGGGGTTGGAGTCCATCCACCCCCAACTCCCATCCCCGCATCAGAGGCCACATAGAAGAGACCAAGGAACTTCATAAAACCCTGACACAGATAGCTTCTTGGAAGTACATTGTGTAGGAGGTTGGCACGCCCTGCCCTCTGCATTTGGAAACCCAGCTTCTCCCCAGCTAGGCAGTATTTCCTGAGTGATTCAAGCACCCTCTTCCACGAGGGCAAATCTTCTGTAATGTCAAGCAGAATTAGGAACCGCCACATCCAGATAGCTCACAGTCATCGGAAGAAGCTAGAGTACCAGGTTTGGGGGACCCAGAGGGATGCAAGCGTTTTCTCAGCAGGTGCTCTGGCTCCAGCTGTGAGTGGGGAGAGCGCTTGTGCCAGGAAGTGTGCAGAATGCATTCCTAATGCCCTGCCCCCATTTCCAGGCAAATCTGGGGACTTGTTTGAGGTAGAGAGAGGTAAAGATAAGTTTGGGGATCAGAGTCTAGTGAGCTGTTTGCACAAGCACTCTATTTTGGGTGAAAAGTAACCCCACCGCCTCCCCCACTCCCACCCAAGAACCTAGACTTTTCTATGTAGGGGTCACGATGAGTCTTCCTTTGCATCCTCTTCCCGGAGAGAAGCCCTCCTTCCGTGGAGGCCGGCCAGCCACGGTTTTCGCTGGAGCTTTTGCTGTTGGCTGCACCTCATGTCTCCCTCCTTGTGAAGCACCGCTTCGGCGGGTGGAACCGCTGAGGGTCCACTCATTCCACCCCTGTGCGTCCTGTCTCACGGGGCCTAGAACACTGGTACGTCACCACCAAAAAGCCAATCTGCCCTAGCTGCCCACAGATGCCACCCCGGGACCTGTGCTGCTCCATTCTCAGGTAGAAGTCTCCCCATGGTGGATACCTCAGACCTGCTTTCAAGGCTGTGCTAGTCACGCAGTGGGTGGTGACCCCACCCCCGCCCGTCACAGCGGCCACCCCTGCTAGTGAATACAGCCCTGTCAGGGGCACATCTGAAATCCGACTGCAGTGGCTACCCAAGGTTAGAAGCAGCTTCGACACCACTTGGATGCTGATTCGGACAACGTAGAAGTCAGCTTCTGAATTCCAAAGTTATTTCTCCTAAGTACCCAACAGCATCTCCATCTTAAAAAACAAAACAAAACATGGCAGTATTATGCAAATGAAGTGACCTCATTTTTTTCTGCTATGCAATAAGAATTCTGAATTGTATCTCATGACAAGCCAGTTGCAATATCCCCTCAGCTGCTTTCTTTCTTTTTTTTTTGAGCTGTCCTACTTTGATATCTGTTGTGTAACGTTTGTATATTTCTGAGCTAGATTCTTTCAAAGATTACCTTTTTGTAAAATTGAAGCTGTAGCTTTCAGGCTAAAGTTTTAATGTAGATATTTTTATAGATAATTTTTCACGACGTTTGAATCACTTTCTATTGTCCATGATGATGAAATGCTGTCGTGTGTGTCGTTCACCCTGACAGAGCCGCACACCTGTTGCTGTGCTGTTTTTCGTTTCTCACCTGTGTTAGACCCTTCTGAGCTCCAGGCCCTCGGCCTTCTAAGGAGAGTGATGAATTCCAAGCACAGTCCCTGGGTTTTGTCTCTTAGTCACTAAGGACTAATGTTAAGACTCGACTCAGCCCTTACCCATGTCTATCTCTCATGGCTTTGTGTTTATGAGTCTGTTCTCTGCAGGGCTGGGGTTGGGCCAGTCATGTGGTAGTGGCTCTCACTGCTCTGGCAATGAGCTTGCCCCTAGCCCACACTCCCTAGGTTGCCTGGGCCCTGCAGACCTTGTTCATTCTCTACTGTCTCCTTTCTTTTAGAGGTTCCTGGCACTCAAGGCCTCTGAGGCTGGGCCATGTCTCTTTGGGAAGCTTGCATTCCATGTACTTTGGAAGAGGGGTCCACTGTGGTCCCTCGAAGAGTGTGTTTAGCAGGCACTCACACATTTTTTTTTTCTTGAGCTGCCTCCACTCTGGTTTGTGTAGGTATCTGTCTGCCACTGGCCTCGTTTCTCTTTTTAAACCTTAATTTATTATTTTTGGGACAGGCGCCATTTAAGTCGCCTCCATGCTTCTTCCTGTTTGACCTGGCAGGATCAAGCTGGGAGGCTTGATGAACAAACTCCTTCGGCTGGACAGAGTATGCAAGGCTTTGATGCGTAGAAGCACAGGGGTCAGAATGTTGTGTTGTATTTTGTGTTTTTGTTTTTTTGTATGTGTGCGTTTGCATGTTTGCACTACTTAGGCCCCTCATGTTCAGCTGCACTGTTTATCTACTGAGCAAGCAGGAAATCCAGCAGCACTTCCAGGAGAGGCCTTTCCATATGGGTAACCCAGCCTTAGAGGCCTCATGCAGCATTTACTGTGGGACTCAGACAGTCCTGGGTGTGGCGGCAGCCCAGGCAGGAATGCATGGGGCTGTGGCGTTTGCAGGAATAAATCGCTCCTGTGCTGTTCTTGCCTTTGGTTATAAGATTGTAAATTATTCCCCTCCCCTTTTTGGTGGTAATAAAGGACCCTTGTTAGACTTCTTGTTTAATTGTATGTGATGTGTAAAATACTTTCTTTGAAAGAAAACTCAAAACATAGGACATGTCCTATCTGGGTGGATGTTCTGTCCCATGCTTGACATGGGCCATCAAACTGGACACTATCTGGCACAGGTAAGGCCCTTCATCTGACCTGATGTTTTCTGTGTGATGTTAGGGACCATGTATCTTAAAAGAACACTTGTCACATGATCAGTGCAGTGAGAGCCAAGAAACATCCCTCCAAATGTGTTATTTTCAGAGGATCCCATTCCGGTTCCCCACACTGCACACGGCATTTTAACAAAAGCTGAGCTGTGCTAACACTGCAGACTTCATTTCCATTGCACAGCATCTTCTATGTCTCAAGTAAGTGAGGGAAAGACTGGTCCCTGCACAGAATCAGATGGAAACTTTTCTCCTCAGAATCTGCGGCACAGGGTCTCCATCCTTCTGATGGAGACCCTGTCACATGGCCCCAGCACAGTGCCGACCCAGGGAGACCTTCAGAAAGACCTCGTGGAGACAGTCCCTCTAAAGGTGTTGGGTAGTGTGGACAATAGTTGCTGGGATCTGGGCCTGGAGGGGAAGATGGCTGGCTGTTCTGACATCACTCCTGGAAGCTGAGATGTATCCCATGCATGTGGAATGTTTAGCTTGGTGGGAGTTTCTCAAAGCCACCTACCTGCTGACATGGATGTCCCTCTGGATAAAGGCCCTCCTGTCTCAGGTCTCCTCAGACTGTCAGGTGCTCTGTGTCATAAAAGGTAACAAACAGGCATCCAGGGCCTAGTGCTTACTTGGCACTTGGAAAGAATGTAAGGATGGAGGGAAAGTCAGCAAGCTGAACGCAGGTAATGGCTGACCTTCTGCCCTCTGCATAGCCCTCTTCTGCCAAGCTGGCCCCTGCTCTGGCCTCTTATCCCTTGAGGCTGAGTGAAAGCTGACAGGATGTGTCTCTCCACAGCCCTTTGAACCATGAGCAGGAATTTATGTCCCTCTGGAACAGAGGTCCAACAGGTGAATGCATCTGTCTGAAGAGATTGTAAGGGGGAAGTGAGACAGGCTCAAATAAAGGACACCAGCCCTTTGAACCCTTGTTTGAGTTTGGGAATGAGTTTGAGGAGAGGCCCCAGGATGCAGCTGTTTTGAACATAGCATCTGTTGTGCAGTCACGGTGCCATGCCCACCTTGAAGAGACAGGTGACTATATATTGTGCTGCTAATTCACAGCACAACAAGGGTTAATTCATTGGCCCTTGAGAGGAGATCTAGGCTGTTCATCCTCCTGAGGCTGCCTGCTAGCTCTGTCACTCTCCTGTCTTGGTGGCTGTGTTCTGCAAGTGCCCTTTGGAGAAGGGGGACCTCAAACACTTCCCGGAAACTCCCAGGGAGGCCTTGCTTCCTCCTCCACTTCCTCCAAATGGAAGGAGGCCCTGCCTGTGGCTTTGCAAGTAGGACTTGCCCTGCCCTCTCTGGATCCTTATCTGCAAAATGAGGGCTCTCTTGTCCTTTCCTGAAGACAAGAGACAGGGGGTGGCAGAAACCTTGAAAGGTACAGAGAGCTCGGATACGCAGAGAGGAGGTCCCACCTAGCTAAAAGTACAGGGGCAGAAGCTTGGGGGGGTGTGTGTGGGGAAAGGCACCAGGGGGAGCTAGAGCCGCAGAGACTGGCCAGTATGATGATACAGAAGCTTTAGGAGTGGGAGAGACAACTTCAAGGCCTAGTTTCCACAGAGGGTCAGGTACCTATGGGCAAGTCTCTTGTGTCTCAGGCAGTTCCCAGTCTGTGAGATACAGATGAAACACCAGTTGGCGACCCTGGAGAAGCTGAAAAGTGAGAATTCCCCTACGTGGAGAAGGCAGACTCAGCCTTAGGAGCAGGTGTGGTCTGGCAGCATATATATATATATAGCCTTTGGGAGGCGGGGGCAGAGGCTGAGTCTCCTGCATGATGGTTGTGTGTGGTCATGTATGCTGTGCACAAGCTCCAGTTGCTGGGAGTGTGCAAGGAGAGCTGATGCACACGAGCAGGGTCATGGGCTAGGGCTGTCTGTCTCTGGGCCTTTCCTGGCCAGGCTTCATTTCTGCAGGGGGCCCAGTGAGGTGATCTGGAAAGGCTTGGTTTCACCTGGAACCACTTGGATTTTTTTTCTGAAAAAATTTTTCCCTGAAAGGAGAAATGACTCAGTGGTTAAAAACACTGGCTGCACTTCCAGAGGACCAGGGTTCTGAGCACTCACCAGGAGGCTCTCAACTACAGGCCCAGAGGATCTATGCCCTCTTCCGGCCTCCGGGGGGTACTGCATGCATGTGGTGCCCACATATACACAAAGACAAAACATCCAATACACATCAAGTGAATAAAAGATGTAACATCAGATTATGAGTATTTTGTACTCTAATATGGTTAGCCATGAACATGGACTGTCCCAGCTCGCGGCCAGCGCAGAGCCTGGACAGGAGATCGGGTGACACTGGTGTGTCTGTTTCATGGCGGCCCCTGGTGTGCCCATCGCGTCCAGACTCTGCTTCCTCCAGTTCCACCCCTCCCCTGAAGCCCACAAGGTCGCCCACCCCAGAGGCTGTGACGTAGGCCTTCTCCACGGGCTGTTCATGGCAGTGTCCAGCTGAAGCAAGCATCAGTGTGGCACCCCTCCAGGTGGGAAGCGTGTCGGGACCGATGTGCCATTCCTGACCTCACCAACGTGCTGGTTGCAAATGGGCTCCTTGGAGAGGCTGTCTGCAAGGGTCTTGACGGCTGCCACCTTGTTCCACGTGGCTTCTCCCTTACGCTCTGCTGTTTTGTAATCCACCTTCGTCTCCTTCCCTCCGAGTGGGCACAGGAGGTGTGGGTCTCATGAAGTGACCAGCCTTGCTGCTCATGGTTTCCGGTCCTTCTGGCTAAGATCACGTAAGTACCCACGCGCTCATCTTCATCCCACCTTGGGTGACTCGGAGACACGGCTTTGTAAGCACAGGAGTCATGCGTTATGTCATCTCAAGCCAGGTCTCACGACATCCTCACGGAAGTCTCGCGCAGCGGTGGATCTTGTCTACACCGCGCCAGCCGGCCGGGCGTGGTGGTTGCTTTCTTGGTGCGGCGGCTGGTGAGTGCTGACAGTCAAGGCACACCTGTGTGCAGTGTGTGACTGGCTGCTGGCTTCTCCCCCCGTCGCCCCCTTTACAGGAACACAGGTTTGAGAGGCAACACGATTGGCTCGAATTCTCGCGAGATCCCTGACTCTCGAACCAGACTGCGCTTGGCTGGGCAGGACAGCACTCCAGTGGCTTAGCTGAGGAGTGCGTTACTCCGCTCCTAAAACCGCAAGCTCTGGGGCTCAATTCTGCGGCTGGAACGGTTGTCCCACTGTGCCATCACACCCCAGATCCCATTCTGTTGGCGTTTCCATTATTAGCATGTTGCGGGGTAGCCGCCCCATGGCTATTTTCAGCTCAGAAAACAGGCACGGAGAAGAGGTGGTCTAGAGAGCTGTGAGGGGTAGGCTCTAGAACGGGAAAACTTCCCCAGCGTCCCCAGCGGACTGGCGCAGATAGCTCCTGCAGCCTCGCAGATGGAAGCGAGGCAGGCGGCCCACTCCTGTTCAACGTGGGAGAAAGAGAGACTTGGTATCAGGTGGGCAATTAGCATCATCAGTGGGCCTGCTGGACACTTGCATGCTTTCCTCTCCACCGGGCCTCGGGCTTTGCTGTCTTGGCCTCTTGGATCCTCCCTGAAGGTCGTTTTGTCTGGGCACTGAGTATATCCCCCGGCTCCTTGTCAGTGAGAATGATGTCCCCTGTGTACTTGGCGTCTGCCGAAGGGACACAGGGCACGGGCAAGGTAGGGCGGGGAAGGCTTTCTCAGAGTCTCAATTCCGCCATCTTGCTGGCTCTTCTTGGCCTCAAGACTGGATGCCCCTCTTTCAGGATAAATGAGAAACCCTCAGCAATGGAGACCTTTTGGAGCCTGAGGCTGGGCCTTTGAGACAGCTCATTTATCAGCGGTGGAGGTTTTCCTGAAGCAGTGATTGAGGAGCTCCGTCAGCAGCAAGATCTATGACCTTTATCTCAAGAGTGACCCATCTGTGCAGCACTATAAATCTTTCCGAGTCACAAGTGGAAGGTAGAGGCCGTGAGGTTTGGCGCTCGACTCTTGGAGGCAATTTTCTCCAGTTATTTGTCCTCCAGTCCTTCAGGACATCCTTGCATTTAATGGTAGCGCCTGACGGGCAGACAGCCTCTTTCCGAGGCGCTGTTCTGCTGTTCTTGCCAGGTGAGGCTCCGTATCCAGGCAGGGCGCAGGAAGGGAGAGATACCTCAGCGAAGCGGCTTTGCCTCTTATCTTGCGAGGAGGATGGGGACAGTGTGGGGAGGTGGTGGCAGCTGGAAGGTCTGGCAGTGTGATGATGTCCACATGACACTCTGAATGCAGGTTCTCGTGTTGGCTCACCAAGATGTCCACTGAGACCCGGGAGAAGAGAGTGCATCCTGGGCAGCTCAGCTCAGCACAGCATCATTCCCCCCCCCCCCCCGAACCCCCCCCGGCCACCCTAGGGGGCCCACAGATCCCTCGAGGGCCTTTCCACAATCCTAGGCCTTACCTTCATCATCCCTCGGTGGCTTAGGTCTGAGATAAGCGGACAGAGGCCCCTCGAGGGATTCCAAAGGCATTTTCTAGCCACAGATCCGTCATTTTAATGTGACCTGGCCCCCACTTAGAATGATTAACTAAAGGAACCCTCTGTCCTTGTGCTGGTGGCTCCTGCAGAGTCTTGATAAGGAAGCCCATAAAATCATCTCCAAACAGCTAAATGAGGCCGCTGGCACACGCACTCACATCCTGCAAAGGTGGTGTGGTTTCTAGCTTCTCGAGATACTCTACCCCTGAATTCGCCTAGTTCTAGGCACTGGGAGCCTGTGCATGTACACAGCGGCATCTGGGAAGACTGTGGAGGCCTGTAGGGTAGATGGAGGAACTGACCT